GCTATATCATTAACACGTAGCAACATTTCCAAACTTCACAAATGATATACATTTTAGTGCTGTATCAATGTCAAACAAAAACATTTTCATACTTAACAAATGATACACATTTTAGTGCTGTATCAATGGAGTCCATCCCCTATCTCCTTCCAAACAATATCCGGTTTAGAGGTCCATGCCCTATCTTCCCATAAACCATGGAGTACATTCACTATCTCCTCCCACACAACACAATGTATATATACTCATAGCATATACATAATCGAATCAATACATAAAATTCATGTATCATATCAACCGCCATATTCGATGGCATACTCATTTGATTAGTTTTAGTTTGCCTAGTCATCATGCATTGTCTACAACAATCATGACTATCCTCCACCGATAGTCCAAAGCAATTATTTCTAAATAGATAATAAATGCATCAACAGGTAATTTATCAACATTTTCAAAAGTGAGCAATTAATGAATCCAACTTCACTATCCCATCTCATATTGAGCCAATTTCATTATTTTCAACTCAATTTCACATTTTCATCATAAATGTCATTAATTACATAAATGACCCCACTACACCCAAACATGGCATTTTTCTCCCTTTTTCCAATATTGACCCAATGGTCTAAATATCATCAATAATCACCTTTTAGGACCCAAAACAATTACATCTGTGCCAAAAGAATAAAACCCCACTTTTCATTTTTACAAAACTCAACCCTAACTTCCCAAATATCAACCATTTATACAAATAGCTCAACACCTAGGTTAAAGCATATAAGAATGAGTAGGAATCCCTACCTCAAATTTCGGAGCTCAACGGAGAAGAAGATGAAAACTCAAAGTGCTCCAAATCATGAGATTCTCGGATCAAAAGATAGCCCTCGACAAACTTAACACTTTTTGTAAAGGCTCAAGGGTAGGAGATCACTCTAACTAGATCAAATCTAAGAGAGAAGGTGAGGTTTTAGAGAGAGGTGGTCTCCAATGGTGTTTTTCGAAAAGTAAGAGAGAGAAAGGAAACCAAAAGTGATCCAAAAAGTCGAATCCCGAAGTGATATACCAGTCGCCCTACTCGAGCGTAGAAACCCCCGCTCGAGCGTCAGACACAGACTCACGCTCGAGCGTCAAAAGCACTGCTCGAGCGTCGATTGCACACCTGCAGAAGTTTTGCATACATGGTCCCCGCTCGAGCGTCAAACTCACCGCTCGAGCGGAAGAACAAAATCAAAGGGTCACGCTCGAGCGTCAAAACTCCCGCTCGAGCGTCCGAAGACCTGCAGAGCAAAGTACTGGGAGATGGAAAATTACGCTCGAGCGTCCAAACGCCCACTCGAGCGGAGAAGAAATAACAAAGGGCCGGCTCGAGCGTCAAAAGCCTCACTCGAGCGTGAAGGCCAAATTCTGGGCATCAATTTTTGATTTCAAAACACAACCAACCTGTTTCAAACCTGCCCAACACAACCCAAGACTCAAATACAAAGAGTAAAGGATGGAAATAAGGTTGAGACAACAACACAACCACGGAACCAAGTCCAGAATACAATATACAAAGGGGAGGAAAACCAGGATCGCTATATAAAGATTAACAGTGTAAGCCAAATAAATAAAGATTGACTCAAAATTATAAGCCATAAATTGACTCACTTATAAGCCAGAGATCTTCATAATTATAAGCCATAATTATAAGCCCGAAATGGACTCAAAATTAAAGAAGAAAAAAAATCAGAATATACTATTTAAAGATAATTAAAAAATAATTACAAAGATTTGTGAGTATAAATAAAGAGTTATGGGTATAAATAATTATAAAGATTTCCTTCAACCCCTTTGTTGAAAATTTCCTATAAATATAAGCCAAAAATTTCTTTCATTATCCCGGATGCTCTACCATTTTCTCCCTTTTCATGCTTGCTTTGCCTTTCAATCAACCACCTCTCTCTACCATCTCTTCTCTTTGATTTGGTTGAACCATTGACTAATATCTAGCCTTTCCTTTCCATCTTCAACAAGCCTTGTCATTAGAAACACCGTTTTTCCTTATATAATATATACTGGCATGTGACACGTGCTATGCACGGGATAAAATAGAATTTAAAAAATGATAGTTTTTCTCATTTTGTCCCCGTAAATGAAAATTATGAAAAAGTAAGAGTTTAAACAAAAAAATAATTTAATAACTTTCCTGATTTTACAAAGTTCATGAAATTCTTTATTTTTTATGGATCCAACTAACAAATTTTGTTCCCTAATGGGAATTTTGAATGTTTTTTTTAAATTCAAAAATCAAAATCAATATATAGATGCTTTAATTTTAATTTTTTTTTTAAAGATTTCAATAGCCAATTGATTTGATATGATTGTGATTATGTAATGTTTTACAATTGACTATCTATTTATTTTTTTAAAACTCAAAATCAACAAATTTAGCTATGAAATTGAGCAAGATTTAAAAAATCTTAAGGAACATATCTTATTTTTTTTAATTCAAATGAACAAATTTAGCCAACTGATATTTAAATTGTTGTTCATATAATTTTGGATAAATTTGTAACTAAGGAGGAGGTTCATAAATATTCTTTTTAATTTTTTAAAATCTAAAATAAAAACAAATTTAGCTTTTGAATTTATTGAATTTAATCAATAGTTTTGATATAGTTGTATCTGCGTAGCATTTTAAAGAAGGTTAGGCAATAACTGTTATTTAATTCGTTTTAAATCTAAAGATTAACAATGTAAGCCAAATAAATAAAGATATATGGAAATTGCTTGAGCAGATAAACTTCTGTACGCTGTGCTGTGGTATTAAATCGAGGCAGAATTTATTGCAGCATTTTGTAACAAGCAAAACTAAAAAAAAAAAACAGGAAGAAAATTGAGGAAAATTGTTTGGAGTGTTTGAGATTAAGTCTTAGGCCCATGAATGGTGCAATAAATTCACAAACACCTAGATTGGAGAGTAGATGCCATGTGATATCTTCCTATGTTGTGATTGGCTTGACAATGGGGTCCATTGCATTTATGTTGAGTGTTTGGGAGATAACAGACGTGCATGCATTTGTAGTTGGTGCAAGGTATCGCATGGAAGTGCCACTTGTTACCCTCTCAATATGCAATAATTTTCTGTAAGCATGAGTGCAAATGGGGTGAATTCCCTTCCCTTCCCTCCCTCCCCCCTTTTAAATCCACGTATTTTTCAACATAAATCCCAAATTCAGGATATTGTAAACATATTTTTCAAATGTGTGTTGTTTTGTGAAGTTGTGAGATTGAAACACAACTTACATTTTAGACTTGAAGTTGTGTTTTTGACATATGACTTTATTCAAGTTGTGTTTCCAAGCCATGATTTCAATAAATTTATTGCACAACTCATTGAAGTTGAGTTTGCCTTGGCTTGAAGCCCACTCAAGATTTACAGTGTTTGAGATTATATTTTAGGCTATAATAGTGTATTAAGAGGCGCGCCTAAGTGTGTGCTTAGATGTGAGGTGCACATGAGGTGCCTTAGATAGCTTGAGGTGAGACACAGTAGGAAAGGCGCATTTAAGGCGTGCGCCTTAGGCTTAGGTGTGAGGTGCACGTCTCATGCACTTCATTTAAATTTTTACTCCATCCTTATTCTTTGTGTGTAACCATATGGAATTATAACCATTTTAATATAAAATGTAAACACATGCTTTGAGCCTCAATTTTCATATAAAAAAAAGCTCTAACATTAAGCAAAAGCTCTGGGATTGCAAGATGGATGTATGGTTTTGGGATTCCTTTCAATGTAGTAAATTACAACAGTTGTGGGCTAATGAAGCTATCAGCTAATTTGGTCTCGATTTAAAATTAAAACCATAGAGGTATTATATGGTGTGAGTTCCACATCTAAAAAAAGAAATGAATCACATTAATGAATTGATAAAGAAAGATGAATAGTATAGGGGAAAGTAAGATTGAATGCTATTTTTGAGAAATTTTTGAAACGTTAAATGTTATTTTTCATGATTTTTGGAATATTGAATGCCGTTCTATTTATATATTTACTTATTTATTGAAATTCTAAAACTATTTGTTTTATGTTAAAAACTTTGCCTATATTAATATTTTGGTTATCTTCAACAACTTGCGCCTCGCCTTGCATCTCGTGCTTAAGCTTTAGAAAACCTTAGCGTCTTAATGTGCTTGGAACTTTTTAAAACACTAGGCTATAAGGGCCAGGCTGGTCAATTTTTTAAGCCTGTTTATAGTTGTTGGTGGGCCTGGAAGAATGTATGAAGACCTGCCCAGTCACTCAGACTGTAAATTTTATGTATATAGCATTTATACATTTATATAGTCTGTACTATTTAATTTGTTGTTGGAAATGAAAAATATCTTGCAAAAGAATTAATTACAGATTTGAGCTTGTAACCTTGATCTTATAAGAAACCACTGCCACATGGTTTCATTCTAAATTGAACACTGTCAACGAATTTCCTTTTTAACGTTTGATCTCCATTTGGTTAGTTGTAAATTTAACCAAAATGTGCAATTCATGTTATGGTATACCATGTTTTGATTATGCAAATAGATACTGCTGGCACTGAGTGTCTACAAAATGTAGTGATCGTTTTTATTTGTCAAGAATTTCCAAAATTCTTGCAATTTAATGGCCATATGGCAGTGCGACTGGTCTCAGATGTCAGTCTCTGGTTCCTTCCTCATCTCCCTTTGTTATCTGCCTTGTCAGTGATCCTTGGCTTTGGGCTTAGCTTGATGTTTTTTCTGTAACTGTTTTTACACAATCAAAAGAATTGGTTTATTTATTTATTTTATTTTTTAATTGTTTTTGCTCCAAAAAAACACACACAAAAAAAAAAAATGAAAACAATATCGAATGCACAAATTTTGGGCTGCTGATGTAGTTTTTTGTTGTGTTTTTGTCTTTCTTTATGTATAACTCTGTTATGTCTCATTTGCTAATTTTGATGGCTATTATTCGTTGTTTGTTTCCATTTGTGGGAATATAGTTCCCAGTGGGTCGGATCCACCGCCAGCTGAAATCAAGGACGGCTGCTCACGGGAGAGTTGGAGCCACTGCTGCTGTTTACTCAGCTGCAATTCTTGAATATCTGACAGCAGAAGTGCTTGAGCTGGCTGGAAATGCAAGCAAAGATTTGAAAGTGAAGAGAATCACACCGCGGCATCTGCAGCTGGCTATTAGAGGGGATGAAGAACTTGACACGCTCATTAAAGGAACCATTGCCGGAGGCGGTGTCATCCCTCACATTCACAAATCCCTCATTAACAAAACCACCAAAGAGTGATTTCCATATATGTCTAATCTCAAATGCCTACTACTGTTAACTGTTAACTGGTTCATGTGTTTATTTTATGACTTTGGACATGAGGTTTTTTCAGACTTTTGTTTGGTTTTCATGTAATGTTTGTGTTGAGCATCCATGTTAGTATATAGTGGTTGCTTCTTAAGATAGTGAATTAAGTAACTATTGTCTTTGTTTAGGAATGGATATAAATTAGTTTCATCTTTGTCTTTTTCATATGCTTGTTTGTGATTCCCTTATGTGTTTTTTTGCATCTGATTAAGTGGTTTAGATCTCGTGCAGTTTTTATCATCAGCTGAGAAGTCAAGCTACACAACATTGTTGGGGCTTCGCTGGTCCTGGTTTGATAGCCCAAGGAAAATTAGCACAGTAATTTACATGCTCATTGAGTGTTATGCTTACAACATTTTTTAGTACAATGAATTAAAAAAAATATATATATATATACAGAATACTCACAAGATGTGGGTGAGTGGGACCTATGGTGATTTATGTTTTGAATAAGTCTCAAGTGCATAGATGAAATTTACAAAATGAGACATGGATTCCTATCTCATTTTGTGAATTTTATTTGTGTTTCTAGCATTGCTATAAGTTATAATTTTATGTGGTGCATGTGCTAATGTACCTTTTCTATAAGGTTGTTGTGTTTCATTTGTTTTTCTAGCATTGTTGTTAAAATTTTAATTTTACATGGTATACACACTAACGTAACATTTCTATAGGGTTATGTTTGAAATGCTTATATTTGTATTTTTGCATCCTTAAATCTCTTTTGTAGCCAATTTGATGTTCTCCGTTGATTTATCAATTCAATTCTGGAAGATTTGATCCTATGTAATTGTATCTGTTTAGTATAAAATCTTTCTTCCTTGGCAATTTTGAACACATGAATTTGGTTAAAGAAAGACATTGCAGAAATGTTTCTGTTTTGTGGAACCTTGATCCTATATAGTGCAGGGTGTCCCAAAACGACATTTTTGGGGAAAAAAAAAATCATTTTCCTAGGGTTTTACCAAGATCAGAGGACCGAAAATAATGAAGCTTGCGGTTTCAAATTGGTTGTTAATGCCCACAATGATTCGGTGTGGGTGGCTATGTGGATTCCAGCCACCGACAACTAGGCAGCGCTCCTCAACAGTTTTGTATGGGTCTTCGATGTCCATCACAACATCGCCAATCTGGAAGCCCTGACAAGCTCTTTTTTTTTAAAGAAAGTTTTGAGCACTACATTTTCTGCACTATAGAGGATCTGGATTCTATTTTGTGTACTTGTCAGAAAAAAACACCTTAATTGCAGTATACAATTGAAGACCAAACAAAGAAACACCCAATGGTCGGTTGTACCTAAACTAAATTAAACCTCAATTTCATGTACAAGTTTTTGTTTTCATTGACCGTGTAACGCAGAGATTGACAGCAGAATTTATAATTAAATTATGTGCATAGGATACATATGGATTAAATTAGCATCATTTTATTATATTGATGACGATGATGCATAGTAAAATTCATCACTTATCTGAAAATGATTGATATATTAATATCCTGTCACTGTTTGTTTGAGTTGGATAAAACTGCCACAGATTCCTTTGAAACGTTCCTGCGAAAAAACAAAATTCTGTACTTAGTAGTTTCGTCTTATTCCGCAACAATGTTAAGAACATTAAAAATGAAAAAAATACACAACAAAATTTTTTTTACCTCACATTTATTTTTTAAATGTGACCTACGCCATACTAAATTTGAATACAAATCGTAGTACTTATTTTTTGTGTATCTATGTTCATGTTTTTACTCAGAAATATTAAAAAAATGGAAAGCAAAAAAAATAATTGCATACTCATGAAAGTGTAACACTTATTTGCACAAATTTAGTGTATGAATTACTTGTACTTTTATAAATTTGAAATTATTATTCTCCTTTTTTACCCATACTAGAGCTTTTTATTATTATTATTATTATTATTATTATTATTTATTTTTAGAAACATAATGGATAAAATGATGATGCATTTCTATCTTATTGATACGGCATACTACATTTAACTATCTATATTATTATATAAAGCTTACACCTTACTTAATCTATGTTTGGGAAGTTGGGTTTGAGAATTTTTTTTGACTAAAATAGTCACAAAAAACAAAATAGATTTTTTAGCTCAATAAAACAAAATATCACATCCAACTCATAATTATTACATTTATTCTCTTATAAAAAAAGTCAAAAAAATAAAAAATCTTTTCCAAACCAGGCTTTTTAGGCCCAGGTTAAAATAGTAAAAAAAAAATCAAAAAACCAAAAAAGCCAACTCACATCCCAAACGAAACCTTAGCATAGACTTTGTCACACTTTTTAATTTTCCAAAATATCATTCCGTAACCAACCATATCAAATTTCGTAGTTACTTGTCTCATATAACTATCCAAATCAAATTCACACAATTTATGATGTTTTGTAGCTTTAACAGCACACTTAACAAGTGTACACGGCTTGTGTTTTATAAGTCGGATTTATTGAATAATAATTTTTCTGCGATCACATTGTTTTCTATTGCAAAATTGTCAGGGTACAAAAGAAATTAATATAACAACATTAAACAAGATTCTAATTTAAGAAGACCTCTCCTTTTGGAATCACTTCGTTGTATTTCAATAACAAAAACACAAATTAAAATACTTTGACAATACAAGACAAATAAAGCGAATAATATGAAGTTATCTCTCCATCATCCTACAGGCCTTGTTTGATAACGCTTTCATTTTCGTTTTCATGTATTTATTTAAAATTTTAAATTTGAAAATAAAAACTTATTTGATATATTATTTTGTTATCAAAGAGTAAAATTGATTTAAATTTTTTGAAATGAAAAAACATATGTTTTCACTTATTTTCACCAAAAATTTCACTCTTTTTTCCTTTCTGCAACCACCACCCATTACTACCACCAGGTATCGACCTCCACCAACCACCGTCTACCCTTCACCAACAACCACAGTTGACTTCCTATGAGCTCCGATGAGCTTTCAATAGGCTTCCCGCGATCTAAAGGACACCGCAAGTGAGTTACGGTCATATTTTGATGACTTTCCAATCACCTGTGACCTTCAGTCAACAACTCCAATAGTCATATTTGGCTAACCCCAACCTCCATCCACCACCATCTGTCCACCTTTTACTGCTAGTCGCCATCTCTAACAGCTCACCAAACATATTTCTTTATTTTTGTTTTTAAAAATTGTGTATACAAAAGATGAATAATATTTTAATCGATAATGCTATAAAATGATACCTAAGAATAATCTTACATAAAACCATATATTTTATAAATTAATGTGGCAATTGAGTCATTTTATTAATTTTAAAGAATTTTATTTTAAATATTAAAATTTTATTATAACACGCTACACCAATTTATAAAATTAAAAAAAAAAATCATTTTTATAATATTTTTAATAAGCATCAGCAATTATACAATTGTATGTCATGATTGCTAGCTCCTTCTGTAATTAATTGGTTAGTGCCTATGAAATAAATGAACAGTATCTAAGAATGGGTAAATTTTACCGCAGTCATGATTTGCGTAATCATATGCTGTTAATTGCCTTTTAGCAATGAATCAATACTTTAACAATTTTAGCCCACCAACTTTGTACAAATAAATTTGAAATTTGAATATATTAAAAAATGTTTCAACAAATATTTATGTTGTGTTTGGTTGGAGGATTTGGGGAGGGATTTGGAAAACGAAATGGAAAAGGTAGGTGAAATGTGAATAAATTATGCCTATATTTCACATAGTTTCACACACCTTTTCCCTTTCCCTTTCCAAATCCCTTCCCAAATCTCCCAACCAAACACAGCATTAAGGAATCAAAGATTATAGCTTTGATGGGATAGAAATACATGTCACTCCTAATCTAAAAAAATTTCTAAATAAATGTGATATACAATATCAATTTCTATCAATATAAAAAAATAATAATATTGTTAACTAGATATTCTTTGTCAACATTAAAAAAAATTTAACCTTACAATTGAGCATATTCTTTTAGAGAATGGCTTCTGTCCGGTCCTTAATTGGACTGGACCGTGTTGTTGGATCCGTGGAGGCCCACCACGAGTCTCGTTTTGATAATTTGAACCGTTCAATATATAGAACTCGTCGAGTACTATATGCCTGTAAAAAATCACGTTGATCGGATATTGATAGCTATGTGATCAAAACAGATTTTTGTCAACCAATAATTTATTCACTGTCTATTTTTTTTTTATACAAAACTGATTTGATCACATAGCTATGGATATCTGATTAACGTGATTTTTTGTAAGCATATAGTACTTGACGAGTTCTACACATTGACGGTTCAGATTATCAAAACAAGACCCGTGATGAACCCCCACGGACCCAACAGCACGATCCAGTCCGATTAAGGACTGGATAGAAGCCATGCCCTTCTCCATTAACTCAAAAAAAAAAAAAAACAAAAAACATTATTATATTCCTAATCTATCTACTAAAATTAGACATCCCGAGTTGAACTTTACACTTTTTCATTATACAAATAAAAAGATAACTCATTTCAATAAGGAATGTCAAATTTGATGAACTTATTTTCAAGAATCTCAGTCAATACCCCATAGTCAAAAGATGAATAATCAAAAACAGATGATAAAACAAGGAATATTAGCAAATTAAAAAGGATATTCAGATAAATTTTATCAATGGAATTGTGTGTGTGTGTGTGTGTTTTTTTTTAAATAATTTAGTTTTTAAGTAGTGACATGTTCTAAAAATAATAGTATTTTTCAAATAGATTGAATTAAAGAAAGGCGAGATTGTTGATTTAATCAAAATAAGAACACTCTTTGGAGTGAAAACTTTGATTTCAATTTTAAAAAACAACTAAAGATAATAGATAATAGTACACATACTACCGAAAAAAGGGTATATCCTAAGACAAAAATTGATGAGCACTGAGAGGGTAATTTTGGTGAAAATTGGGCCGAGCTATGAGATGGACATTATGGCCTCAGTATAAAGGGCCGAAGTGAAATGGCCATGGATGATACTCCGGTCGTGCGATATTTTGGAGTTAGTCCGGTCCGACGTAAGAATGAAGTTAGATCGGTCTAACGGTACCTTTGAGTTAAACCGGTCTTTGAGTTATACCGGTCACGATTCGTTAGTTCGGTCCAACCATGCCATGTGCTG